AGTCATCTTACATTTTCAAATACTTTGCTTCGATTTTAGTATCATTTAATAACAAAGTTGCTGACAGATGCAAAAAGGTTCTGTTTCCACTCCAAGAACACTTCAGTTTAGAAGACAGGAGAGCCACTTGTGCATTTTAATACACTTTCATACACATAAGTCATTTTTGTGGTGTAATGGTATGGTGCCCGCAGCTATTAATGTTTTCAGGAATTGAAAATGTTCATTGAAAGATAATGGAAACCAGACATTTAGTAACATTTTCATTTTGCATGTTTAAATATTCATAACTATGTTTATAAAACCCCGTTTGTTCTCCTGATGCTCTAGCGATTGTGTTTATGAAATGCAGTATTTCTTGAATGTCCCTTCTTTGCATCAATTTTTTTTGTAGAATGCTATTTCATCAGCTTGTGACACTGACAATTAGCTTTTATGTAAAAGATTGGCCAAGATTAACAGCAGAAAATTACAGGAAAGAAAACATTGTCAGAACCAATAAATGTTTCACTGATGCATCTGTAACTCTTAACTTTGTACAGGACATTTGTGATGGCTTCATTCTTACACAATGACAATGTATTGTCAATCTGGAGGTATACATTTATTATTCTACTATAAAACAGTGAAACCTAGAAATAGGATACCAATAACAAAAAGTTAAGTGCTGGTAAGCTTTCAATAACAAGTGTTCTCTTTACTATATATATTTTCTTTCAACGTTAAGTAAAATAAATAAACATAAGCAGCTCAGAGTCACTTTAGTATTACAGTTGCTCTAGTTCCTTAACAGTGTTTTTAAAAGTTGATCAAGTAGTCTTAGTCTGAAATTGGGACTATAATAGATGTAGACTTCATTGCAATGTCATCCTGATTAAAAACAGCATCACACGGACTCTACAGTAGAGTATGGTAGGTTTAATAAATTAAAACTGCATAGAAATTAGGATATTCATAGTAACTAGTGTTTGCAAAAGTTATCTCAACAGTTGGGCCCACTGAAATAAATGGAAAGGTTTCCACTGACTCCAGTGGATGCTGGATCAAGACCTTAATCCTCATTTGTTTGGCTCGTTTTTCTGGTGCCCAGCTTGAAACACCAAATGTCACAGGAGTAAACCTTGGTCTCACTGACAACACTGAGAGTTCCCTGCATGGACCTCTTGCAAGACTAGAAGTAAACATGAAGGGGGGAAACAGGGAGGAACAAATGACACATTTTGACTTTTATTTTGCATCATGTTGATTACTTATCATATATCAATTGAATGTTTATGAAAACGTTAGAGCAAATAATAGAATCCTCGTGTGAGATTCATTTTAAAATAAATGTATAGACGTTAAAAATACAAAATAGCTATAAATACTATTATAACATTGCCAGCTCTGGCAATATATATAATACACACACACACCCTAGCCCTATGCAACCCCTACAAGGACTTTCTGCAATTGTTACAACATTTTGCAAAGCAAACAGTTCTTGTAGGCTAGAAATGCACACAGCCCTTAAGGTGTGTGAACCAAAGTATTGAGGGTTTATATTTACTGACACAATACTACCAGCAAGAAGCCATGTCCTGGACTGGCAGCACATCCATTGCTCATCCTGCAACATGAGCTCCCTCAACTCCCATTGAAATGAACAGCAGTTGAGAACACATGGCAGAATAAGGCCCTAGGCATCCTACGCCCAGTGGAACAGTGTTTATTCCACATAATACACTGGGCATAGGATGACCAGATGCCCCGATTTTATAGGGACAGTCCTGATTTTATAGTCTGTTTTCTTATATAGGCTCCTATTGCCCCCCACCCCCGTCCCGATTTTTCACACTTGCTGTCTTGGTCACCCTAACGGGGCTGTAGAGGACTGGTTCACCTTCCTGCTCCTGCCATACCAGGTGCAGCCATGTAACCGAAAAAGAGACATGCTGGAAGCAGGGTGTGTCAGGAATCAAATGCAGTGAGGACCTGATCCAAAGCCCATTGAAGTCAATGGAAAGACTACCACGGTCTTCAGTGGTCTTTGAGTCAGGGCCCTTATCTACATGTTAAATATCCAAAATGGCTGCATAACAGCCATTTTGTATCTCTGGAGTTAATGCAGATTCAAACCAGGAGCCTCTGCCCTTCTGAAAAAGTCCAAAGACATGGGAAGTAATGTATATACAGTGCAACCACCCACATTTATCCTCAGGGTTTCTGTGCAATTAAAGCCTGCCTCGCACCGTCCTTAACTTCCCTCATAGCCAGATAGGTGTGTGTCTCTTGTTGTTACTCAGGATGTAGGGCTGGCTCCCGGTTTACTCTCATGCATAACCTTTGTCTTTGCAAAGGAGATTTTAATGAAACTATGTGATCAGGCTCTACAAAAAAGAACTTGTCCAACTTCAGGCATGGCGAGCTTCCCACCTGGCTCATGACAAAGCCTAGTTTTAGCAATTCAACAGCTGATGCTACTGAACAAGCTGGCAACACAAAAACGCTGAGCTAAATGCTTTTTTTTATTAAACTTTCCTTGCTTACAAACCAATGGTACCAAGCAGCATGTGTGTACTTGAAAAATATCTAAAGAGCAGAATACCTTGTTTACTGAGCATCAAACTCAGCATCCCACAAACAAAACGGTGGAGGGAGGGATAGCTCAGTGGATTGGGCATTGGCCTGCTAAACCCAGGGTTGGGAGTTCAATCGTTTTGGGGCCATTTAGGGAATTGGGGATTGGTCCTGCTTTGAGCAGGGAGTTGGACTAGATGACCTCCTGAGGTCCCTTCCAACCCTCATATTCTATGAAAATATATCTGCTCATTCTTCAGACTGCTCACATCCCTAAACTCTGTATACAGAGCTCCCACTGATGTCACAGAGCCTGGAGAGAAGACAGCCTTAGCTTCTGGAGGCCAATCTTCCTAGACTAGGTTCCAAGCTCTTGTGAGTATTCTCATGGGCGTTGATGCCATGAATAAGCAAAGGTTCACAGGGATGTGCCTTTTCAGGAGACGGCCTATATTTCTAACCAATGCTAATGTTGTAGCAAGGTTAACCAAGTGTCTTATTTCAACTGATGTGCAGACTAGCCAGTCTGAATCTAATTATTTGTTTTTACAGGCAGAGTTTTAAGATTATTTTTCTGCAGAAAATGTAAGGCTATCTCCTGAAGTGTTCCTCTCCGAGAACAGTACTATCTCTCTGCAGAGACATTTCCCCACATAATTAGATTGACCACAGTAACAGCACTTGTGTTGGGGCAGTTGGGAGAGTCAGTCTAGTGGAAAGAGCACGAGCTAATATGCAGTGGTTTTAGATTAGAAACATTATAAAGAAGACGACCGGCAATGTGCACCATAGGAGGGCACTCATCGCTCCAGAAACAAGAGAGTTTTATAGCCAAAATAGTTACTATAGGAACTTAATTAATGGGGCGGGAGTACTGAGACATGGGAGCACAACTGGTTCACATGCCTTCAAGCACCAGCCAGGGTTTAAAGCATACACAAACCTTTAAACAAAACATGATTTTCATAAGCTGGCACCTAAGGTATGCAAATATGCAAAAACAATCATACCCGCAAAGGAACCAGATTATTCACGGATCATAAAGCAGGGCAGAAGAGGAATGGGGATGGCTGGTCAGCTGCTTTTGCTTAGATTCTTTATTATGCAATGAAACCTTGTTACTGCTTTTAAAAAACGTCCTGGGGTCTGTATAGTTTGGGTAAAATCCTGCTAAGCTGACTCTTGCAAGCAAGTCCAGTGTCAGTAACTGCGTGGGAGCTGTCAGCATGAAACAGGCCAGTCCCCTTTCTTTGTAAAGGCGGGGAGGCTGCGTGGGTAATGCACTTGGAGAAGAAAGGCAGAGCCATTATTAATTATGATGCATTGAAAGCTGACTAGCCTGGCACCAACAGTACAGGGGACATCTTTTAACCCCTCCCACATCCACATACCAGCAAAAAAAATAAAATAAAAAACGCTGGCCGTGGAAAGCCAGCGAAGTTAACTTGGGACCCTGGGTGTGATCAGGGACCGCGGCCATGAGCAGGGTGGCTACAACCCCAAGCATTTGACAGTCATGAGTCAGCCCTTCCCCAAGTCCTCAGATTTACTACAATAAAATCAGGAATTTAAAAAAAAAAATGATACATGCCGGCCCATGGGGGAGCGCTGGCTTCCCCGTCAGCCTTTTCTCTGCGAGCAGGAGGGCTAGAAACTCACTTTTCTTTTTGTAATGAGAGCTGAGGATCTCTGCCCCCGGGCTGGGGCCTGGAAGAGGGGGAAAATCCCCCAGCCCCTACTGCAGGATAAAAACCAGGGGAGTTGCCAACAGGGCTTGTGCCCCGATTGGCTGGAGCTCGCCCCCTTTGCAGCTACCCCCATGGCCCCGGGACCGTGGAGCAAAGGGGCAGCTTCGGGGCGCTAAGGCCGGGATGGGACTGCCTGCCCCACGCACATGGAGGCGGCTCAGGCTGCATGCTGCCCCAGCCCGCTCCAGGGCAGTTGGGTGGGGGGGGGGCTCCAGGGGATTTGGGGGGGGGGCTCCACCCCCGCCTCGTTCCACATTCTTTACCCGCTGGTGCAGCTGTTTTGGGGGGGCCAGCCCGGGGCGACCCCAACTCCTGCAGAGCCTCCCCTGCCCAGGGAGGGGCGAAGCAGCCACGTGTCCGTCCGTCCCCCCCAGACACCCCGGGGAGCCGGTGCCCCAGGGCCCGACCCAGCCCGCCGCCATGCGGCTCCCCCCAGCCCAACCCTTGCGCCGGCGCCCCGGGGGGAGGAACAGCGGGTCGCCGGCGCTTTCAAAGCGGCTTGAAAGGGAAGCGGCGGGGGGAGGGGAGGGGAGGGGAGGGAGGGGAGGGAAGGAGGGGCAGGCAGGTCCCAGTCCCCCTCCGGGCAGCCCCAGCCCGCAGCGCCAGGAGACCTCCCCCCCCCCCCCAGGCGGTGCCTCGCTGCGGAAAGGCCGGCTCCACCGGGCCAGGGTTAAGCCCCGGCTACAAAAAAACCGGGGCTTTGGTGCCACAGAATCGGAGCGTGACTCTCGGTGTAAATGAAAATAGGAGCCGATCCGGGCTGCCCGCCCTGGGGGCTGCGCTCCAACCAGGGGGCGGTTCAGCGGGGCTGGAGTACGAGCCAGCAAGTCAAGCCGAGCCGAGCCGAGCGGGGCCGGGCGATCCTCCAGGGTCCAGCAGCCTCCAGGCAGGGGATCCTCCGGGCCGGGCCGGTTTGGCATGATTCTCTCTCCCATGGATTTAGAGAGAGAACGCCGCCCCCTTGCGATTCCCCCCCTTTCTTCTGGGGGGCAGCGACTTAGCCCCCCGAGACACACCCACCACTTGTTGGCATATCCCCGTGTGCTCCGGGCGGCCGCGTCTCCGCCTTTCCAGCCCCACACTTCCCGGCGCTCCGAGTCCTTTCCTCCCCCAGCGAGCCTGGGGCTCGTAGGCTCAAAGCGGAGGCTCGGAAGACGGGGAAGGGCGAGCTTAACAAGCACCGGGATGCTTCCGGAGCTGCAACAAAAAGCGTCTGACAGCATTTAAAAGATTTGCAACGTCGGAAAGCCAGCCCGCAGCCCGGGCCAGCGACCCTGCCCCTCTACTTAACGCTCCGAAAGTTATTCCAAAATCCAATGGCCAACATTAGGGCTCCTGCACAGCACTGGAATGGACATCTCAGTTAAACCGAGCCAATCTGCATTTAGAGATTTATGTTACAGATCCCGTGTCAGGACGGTGAACACGCAAAACTCCTTAACTTACTGTTAAAAGAGCATTTTTAAAATGAACATGGAGAATTGTCTAGTGCGACCTCAATGTAACTGGGAAAGGTTCAGAAAATGTAAAAAAAAAAAAAAAAAAAAAAATTTAAAAAGCTGCATTTAATTGTCACAGGGCAACAATCTATTGCATTTAGTTCTTATTTTATTAGTAGCATGTTGCAATACAAAACGTCTCACCTTGCGCTTTTTCTTTATTTTGCAGCGTGGCACAGGGCTGCTTGCTTCGGTGTAAAGCTGAGAACTTTAGTGGTGCAGGGTTTCCAATCCATTGCCTTGCGGTCCAAGTCTGCTCTGTGTATCGCAAAAGAAATATTTAGCTCCACAGAAGAAATCGAAATACATTTTTTAAATCAAAGATAATTCTTTCAAGTGGGAAAAGTAGGACATGGAAAAGAGTATTGTAGAAACTGGCGAACTAGTCCTCATTTTGGAAGTGCAGGTATCGTGTCAAAGATCCTCATCGATCTGCTTGGTCTCAGGCGTTATTTCCGATCAACTTTTCCTTTTGTTTAAAAAAAAAAAAAAGACTTGTGCATTTGATCTAAGTTGCCTAAAATAAAAGAAATCCTAAAGCAAGAAGTAAACAAACAGTATTCTCAGTCCAGCCCTTCCCAGTGTCAAGTTCAAGATGGGACTGTCTGGGGGAAACCCAGACATGAAAGGTGCAGCAGGGCTCCCATCAAATTACTCACATCCTTAGAGCTAGGGGGGAAACGCTAACAGTCCACAGAGTAAATTGCTTTCTCCAGCTGAACTGTGTACACCTTCAAATGCTGCCTTGCATTCTATATATGTACCCAAGTGGTGCTAGTCAGTAGCCATCGTATATTGTTAAATCCTGCAGATAAGATATAACAATTAGTTCATTTTAATCACAAGTTTAGGCAGACTAATACAATCTATTTTTAATTTCCAATCCCAATACTTCTGGAAAGATGGCATCTTTTATTAATTAAAAATGAACGGGGCTGTATTTTAACTTTGAGAAAGTTAAACAAAGCACAGGATGGTCCAAATGCAAAATGAATATTAGAAACAGCAGTCCACTCCAGTCTGTGTATATATTCTAAGATTTTAAGTTTTCAAAACTCAGGGAGAAAAAAACAGAACGGTGGATTCATTAATTGCTTACATCAACCGAGATCATTCTGATACAAATGAAAAATCTTAAATATTTTGGAGGGGGAAGTATGGAGGGAGGGAAGGTTTTGGTTTCTGTTTTTTGTTTTTCAGTAGTAATTTATCAGGCTAACATTTCTCTCTTAAATTCTTCAATCTTTTCCCCATTTCCTGCCTTTCATTTCCTTAATACAGTCCCTGTTCACACACTGCCTTCATTACTAACCTAAAATTAGAAACCAAAAACTAAATATAAAAACATACCATCCTAAATTTAAAGTATAAAGTGAAAACTGATAAATCTTCCTAAACATGACTAAATATTGGTTATCTTTTAAAAACATTTAATTATCAAACAGATATATTAGTTTTCTAGAATTGTGTATATGCTCAGTTACGATGTTCCTTTGGCCAAAGAAAATAAATATCCAGGTTAGAATTTTATTACAAAAAACCAGACAATTGTATTTCATATGTTACCGATTTTAATGGAAATAATTCATCAGCATCTCTCAACAACTTATTAGGTTTGCAAAATATATTCGTCAAAGAATTTCTATAGTGTTTTTCTAGAAACACTATTGAAGTCATCATAGGGTTGGCTATACAGAATAATTTTGATAACTGTGTATTAAGTTATATACAGCCAATCAAATCCACTTTTTTTCTTTTCTAATACTGGGAGAAACTATAATTCTTTTAAGAAGCACTTACTTTAATCTGAAGTAAACAGATGGAACTGGCTCTTTTACTCACCACCCAGCTATTTCAGATTCATGCTAAACCTCTTAAAAGCATATATATATATATAGATATAGATAGATACAGAGATAGAGAGGTGGGTGTGTATATCCATCCATCTATGGAGACATATGCATGCCTTTCTGCATAGGGTAAAAAGGAGCCACACACAAAGATAAAACTCATTGCATTTACCTTCTGATGTTTACGGATGCAGCACTGGGAGGCCGAAATGCAGCTCTTCTTCTTTGAAGTGCAAGATAGAGACACGTCATGGACACTCACAGGACAGGTCAGTAATATTTGATTCGCTCGCAGAAAGTGCAGGAACAAACATATGAAGCTCGAGGTGAAAACAAACCACTGGGATGTGGGGGCGGAGACAAGGAAAAACAACAACGACCCTCATTCCCCTATTGAAAGGAACACTGTATATTGCTCGCCTGCAATAGGGAAACCAATTCCTATAAAGGATGGGGATGAGATACAAACACCTTGATATGTGGTTACTCGGCCAGTGCTGGGTGTAAAGAGTAGTTCACAAAGCAATAAGGAAATACAAGACAGTGGTTCAAAAACTATTCCATTGTGTTCTTTCAAAAACAATAAATTTTTAATGCTAAAGCAGTTATAACCAAAAACTGTACAGAGTTTTGTAATTTGTTGGGTTTTTTTGTTGGGTTTTGGGTTTTTTTTTTTTGTTAGAAAACACTTCTCCCCCCGCCCCCCATAAATATTGTTCAGTTCCCGGCACTTCGTATCAATAATTAAATTACAAACGATAAATATGGCATCATGGATATGTATTTACAAAAAAGGGTATTACAAAAAGGCAACTGTTTTACTAAACGGTCACAATCTGGGTAGAATAACACCACGGCCTCATCTTGAAAAATACCGGACGAACCCATCAGACGAGAATACATTCACAAGGATAATGCTCTGAGAGAGAGAGAGTGAGAGAGAGAGAGAGAGAGAGGTTCAAGACATAACAGGACTTTGGCACGGTTTAAGAATGAGTTTAAACAATCACCACTAAGGCGAAGGAGAATTTGCATCCTCATGTCAGCATCCCACCGAAGGAAGAAAAAGCCAAAAAAGGAGAGAGACAATAATAAAAAATAAAAAACAGTGTTCAAATGAAGGGAGAAGGGGAGGCGATTGGAAGAGGGAAGAGAAAAAAAAATCAAAGAAATTACTGCAAATGCCAAAACCAAACCAAAAAAATCCAATCCTGAGAAAAGGACATGCTAGTCCAGCGTCTGGATCTTGCAAAAAAATTAAAAACCCTTTCCTGGATAATTGCAATGAACTGGATGTAGCCCTGTACGGTTGTTTGCCTGAAAACTCCATTTCCGTGTGATTGATTTTCAGTTTTCCTTTGAATTCATTTGGTCCAGTCTACAGTTAAGCTTGGCTGCTTTGTCCTTAGACGTACCATTCGTTAAAATTGGGTGGAAGTCCGGGGTTGTGGCTTGTGTTACTTTGAACTGCTGATGGAGGACTTTTAGTAGAGTCTTTACTGTTTGCAGAACTTATAGTGGGCGGAGTGGACGATTCGTAGCCTGAACTGGCAGCTGGGGAGGAATCTGACCCTTGCGATTCGTGAACCTAAAAGGAACAGGTATAATATGAGAAATATCATGTCACACTGACACTCCTCGGTCCAAGCAGCAGAGTTCGAACACGACGAACAGCGCAGGATGACTCAGGTAAGTATTTACACTTCCTACGTGATGACACTAATACAGTCAACAAATCATAAATTATTCGGGGAATGGGAAACTTATCCATGCAGCTGTGAGATTGTAATTTTAAAGCGAGTTTTGTCCCTCCCCCCTCCTCACTGACAATCTGAAAATATTTTTCCCCACCATTTATGCCAGCTAGTTATTAGCGTTCGATTGCGGAAATGCCAGGTATTGACTTGAACACGTCGTTTACGACTGTTCAGCATTGGTTGTTGATGTCAACGTTTTTAAAACATGCCAATATTTTTTTCGCCAGTAATCGTTAGTAGCTACATATCCCTCACTGAAGAGCTATAGGACATGTTTTTCTATTCGGTCTCTGGAACAAGAAAAGAAAGAATGCAATTTACCCAAACGACTGTTCTTACTGAAAGGGCCTAGCTATCAACTACAGCCTGAACTGTGAGATAAGAGCGAAAATATACAGTCCTACTGATCATTTTTATCAATCGGAGACGAATGTAAAATGCTGTTAACATAAATCTTTCCGAATGGGTGAATTGTGTCATCCTAAAGCAGCACCGATCATTGTTCAAATGTAGGTTGGGGGGGGGGGGGGGGAGGACAGAGAGAGAGAGAGAGAGAGAGAGAGAGAACGGGCTCCGAGATGATATTTAGTAACAAAGTAAAGCGATCAAGAGTTAATTACCTTCATGTGTTTCCTAAGAGAGCTGGGGTGCGTGTAAGACTTATCACACACTTTACAGATATAAGGTTTGTCTGAAGTGTGTACATGCATGTGCTTCTTTCTGTCACTACTGTTCGCAAAACGTCTATCACAGCCTTCAAATTCACACTTAAAAGGTTTTTCACCTGCAAAATTCAGAAAGGGTTAAAGGAGGCTACAGAGGAAAGGTTCACTTTGATTCCCCGCTAGCGGATCGGTCACGTTGGCAATTCACTTAAAACAATTAATTTGCTGCAGAGTGGAAGACAGACTCTCTTGGCTTTCGTCCGTCGTCTCACAAACCGTTTTCCTTCAATGTCAGTGGAAACGCACCAAGCATCAAACACTTATTTCTTTTTCCCTTAATTATTTAACTTTTATTTCCCTTCAACCCCCTCCTTTCCCAAGCTTTACCCCTCAAACACCTCGGCTGAGGTAGTATGCACACACACATACACACAAAAAAGGATCAGACAATAGGATTTGTTACGTTACAGTTAAATTCAATCCGTCCTTTGTTACTTTTAATTTGCCTCTTTCAAATGCAACGGTTGTGCTAAGCGAAGTGTTAAAGGCAGACTACCAGTACTTGATGTTGGGAGGGGGGGGTGGGAGCGCAAATCCAGATAAATTCTGGAGCAACAGACAGTTTTACAAGATGCGCTCAACAAGAAGGAAAATGTGTGGGTTTCCTGCCTTTTCTAGTTTTACTTCACTTTTGTGGAGACCTGAATTGAAGACAGAGCTCCAAATAAAAATACTTTGACAAAAGTATCACTGATTTAATTAGGAGATGTGCCAATCAAGACTAAAAAAGAACGGAAGTAACCGAAAATTAGATTGAATTAGCATTTGTATGGTTTCCTTAACAGAATGTACGCAGAGAGCTAAATCGTATGTAAAGCAATCCACACAAAACAATTTCTCTTTGCCTCATATAAACCCCCAAACCGAGCCAACAAAAAAATCGGACAAAATCATCTCTCTGTCAAGCTAGACTATAGAGAAATAAGCGATTGCTCTTCTTGGACTGAAATTTACAAGCGCGTGGAACATGCGGATGTTAAACGACCCAAACTCGCAGAGTGAGAAGTTTTAAAGAACCGCGAACAAACTGTAACTTAGCTCCAAACCGGGGAAAGTAGCATTTGATTCCCGCTTTTCGGTCTCGCACAGTGGGATCGATGGGGGGGAGTATTTGGATTTGAGGGGGGTTCTTTAATTCCCACCGTCTCATAATTCATGCACCCCGTTTTTCGTCTCCCTCCTTACCTGTGTGCGTCCTTTTGTGGATCTTCAGATTCTCGGACCTGGCAAAGATTTTCCCGCAGCCTGGGAACGGGCAAGGGAACGGTTTTTCCCCCGTGTGAACCCGAATGTGGTTCACCAGTTTGTATTTCGCCTTGAAGGACTTGCCTTCCCTCGGACATTCCTCCCAGTAGCAGATGTGGTTGTTCTGCTCCGGCCCCCCGACATGCTCCATCGTCACATGGGTGACCAGTTCGTGCATGGTGCTGAATGTCCGGTCGCAGCTCTTTTTGGGGCGGTTGATCTGGCTCTCCTCGACCCACTTGCAGGACAGCTCTTGCTTGATGGGCTGGCGCATGTAGCGGAAGAAAGCCCCCGGGCCGTGGTGGTGATGGGCCGCCACGTTCATGCCCATATTCATGTTCATGGGGTTGTAGTTGTGGAACTGGGCGCCGGCGTACGGGTCCGTGCGGGGGCTGGAGACGGCCCGGTAAGGGTCGGGCCGGCCGAAGAGATCCCCCCGCAGCCCCAGGTGCATCTGCCCGTTCTCCACGTGCCCGCCGGGCGAGGCGTGGCTGGGGCCCTGCTCGTGCAGCCCCGGGAAGAGCAGGTAGCCCGGGCTCTCCGCGATGCCCGGCGGCCCGTGCAGGCTGCCGGGGGAGCCGCCGAAGATGCCGTGCTGGGCGCCCCCGGGGGCGGGCTCCCCGAGGCCGGAGCCCCGCTGGCGGAAGAGAAAGTCCCGCGTGGAGCTGAAGGCGGCGGCCGCGCCCCCGTAGGCGGGCACCTGGCCGGCGTGGTGGTGGTGGTGGTGGTGGTGATGGTGCCCCAGCGCGTTGGCATAGCCCGAGCCCTGCGGGGTGAAGGCCGAGCTCTGCCCGGACGAGAGCTCGTGGGCGGCCGGGCTGAGCTTGAAGGCGGCCGCGTGCGAGGCGTCCCCGAAGGGGCTCAGCCCCATCCCGGCGGCGGCGTCGCCGCGGCTGGGCCCCTCGTGGTGGCGGGGGGCCCCGAAGCCCCCGACGCCCAGGGCGGGGAACTGCGCCCCCCCGTCCAGCAGCATGGCCATGGAGGAGGGCGGGCGGGAGCCCGAGGGAGGGTCCCCCCCAGCACAATGGGCCAGGCGCGGGGGGACGAGCTCATGCACCGCGGGCGGGCGCCACACAGCCCCGCGCGACACCGCCCCACGCGCGCCCGGCTGGGGGCTGCCCCGCGCCCCCCGTCCCCGCCCAGCCCAGCCCCGGGCAGCGCCGCGCACCCCAGCCCGGCTGCCCGGCTCCGCGTCCGGCCCCTCCGCTCCCGCCCGGCAACGTCCTTGGACTGCTCCCCTCACGCGCGCACTCCCCGCACATAAACCAACTCGGGAGCCAGCCCGCGCCCAGCCAATGGGGAGCCGGCTGGCACGGCGTCACCTGACCCCCGGCCGGCCCGCCCATTGGCCGCGCCGCGCGTGAGTGGCAGCGTGCCACATTGACTCTGGCCGCTCGCGCCCCGGCCGGCGCGCTGATTGGCCCGCCCGGGTTTAGCGACTCGCAGGTGAGGTTAAAGGGTGCCCGCGAGCCCACATGTTTTGTTGGCTTGCCCGGCTCTTGGGGCGCGCGGCAGCGGCCGGGGCCGGGAGCGCATTAAAGGGGCCGCCCGCCCGAGCGAGGCGGAGCTCCCGGCTTCTCCCCCGTCCCAGGCTTGCCTCCCTTTCCCCTCTTCCTTGCACTCGGTCCCCGGGATCCCATGCACTAGTCCCCCCCGCATCCCGCTCTCTGTGCGTCCCCCCCGTCTGCTTCCACCCACGTTTTAAAGCGTCCCGGTGGGGGGTGGTTTGGTTTGGTTTTGTTTTTTTAAAGAAACAAATAAACCAAGACACGCGTGGGGGAGCCGCTAACGGGCCAAAGGAGAGATCAAAAGACACAGAGAGCGACGGGATAGCGGCTGTAGCCCTTCGCTGGTGCGATCCAGCTGCTGAAAAACGGCACCTTGATTGGAAGTCGTAAATCTCTCGTGCTATTAAAAAGAAAAGATTTAAAAACGAATAAAAATTAAGGCGGCATAAATCAGAGCGGCTCGCCAAACGTTTGCGTGCTCTCTCTTCCTGCGGGCGGGGGCCGGGGGGAGACTGAACCGCCTCGACTTTAAAGCGATTCTATTTAGGTGCTAAATTTGGTGGGCCTCGCTTAGGTTTAGCCGCCACACACCGCTTCTTTTTCCCCCACAAGAAGATGAAGGAAATAAAAAAAAAATTAGAGATTATTTCAAATCTTGGGCTGAACAAGATAAAGGGCATAATCCCGCCATGTTCCTAAACTTAAATGCCGTGGGTTTTAGCTCCACAAACAGTGTAAATTATTCGCTTTTATCAATATATAAATTGCTCTAGAGATGTGGACCAAAGTCTCAATCAAAGTTGCCTTTTTTTGTTTAGTTTATTGTATTTATTTATTGATGGACTTTATTATTATTTTGCAGTTGCAACGTTCTGCCTTGAAATAATTATCTGCTGCAGACAGCCCCATAAATCCGCTCATTTTCTGTTCTGGAAAGCATTTGCAAAGAACTATGGGGAGCAAGAGTGGAAATAAAAGGCAGAAAGAAAGATGGCTGTAATTGTAATATCCTGAGATTTGCTGAGCCCCAAAGTCTGTCTATTGAGCTAGTCTCACAGGATTGCCGCCGTCTCTCTGCAGGAAACATAAAATCTGATCAAGTTCAGAGACGCATTGAGAGACTGCTTCAAGCAGCGCTTTATAACTGCAGCCCTTTCACATCCTTCCCCCCAATCAGCCCCAGGAAAGACTTCACATTCTTTATTTTAAGGTTTGAAAAAAAAAGCCACCGATATAAAATCTCCCTCAGTAGTAACACCATCTCCCATCAAACCAATCAAAATTCACACTCCACATCCATCAAGAACATTCACAAAGTTGGAAGGTGAGTGAGTCACTTCTGTCTTAGATTATTGCATCTAGAAAAAAAAACAAACAAACAATAAACCCCGCTTGCAATAGAAAAATAGTCGATTTAATGCAGATTTCGGGGGAGGAGAGACGGGGTTCTGGCTCCGAGGATACCGTTTGCTTCGGGTTTTGTTTCACACACACAAACACTCTCACACACACACCAAACAGGGAGGCATTTGCCTAAACGGGGCACATTAAACTCTGAGAATCAGTGTTAGAAAATAAAATGAACAAGGAAGGATTTAAAAACTCGGAGACTATGCAGTGGTTGTTCTTTGTTCGGTGCGGTGTGTGTAGATCTGAGAATATGCTTGAGGACTCTGATGGGGGTGGAGTGAGAGGAAGTGTGCGAAACTCAGGCCCAAAGCAGTAACCTGCTCGGCCGTTTTCTGATGGTCCATATCCAGTGCTCCTGGACTCCGACATCACTACAGTGTCGCTCAAGGGGCTCAGCCAAGTTCGTCTAACTTTCCCCTTTCCGTGTTTCATTGCACATTGCAAACCGAAGGGGGCTTTCCAAGTGCTGTACCTGGTCTGTGTGTCGGCCCGAGCCAGGGCCCAGATCGGATAATTAATTACCTCCAGCACGTGTTGTGTTGTCTCTGTAACAAAAAGGCATAATTCAATTAGATCATCAACCGAGCGTTGGGTAGAGAAATGCCTGTGAAGTTCCCGACCTGGGGCAACCGAGGGCGAATGACCTTTGCTTTTGCAGAAGGCCTCACGTGTAATTCTGTCCATTGTCTTTAGCCTGAATATGATGTAAAACAGCTTCCAGGCGCTCTGCTGCTCACAACGAAAACCCAGGGCGAGCTCTGTCATCGGAGGGGATTTGTTGTTTGTTGGGTGGTTTCTCTTTTGACCCAGGTGCTCTGAAAGGGTGGATGGGTAAATTTATCCAGATGTGAGCGGCTTGCTGGCCGCTTAACATTCGTTAAATAAATAACTCAGCAAAGAAAGTGAAGTTCAGAGTCTAGTCCCTGCTGCCAGACAGCCACGGGTTTTTTTAGGGAACCTTTCAACACGGTGGAGGAGGAGGGAGGCGAACTTGGCTTTACACAGGAAAAGCGGAGGGGGGGGGGGTGTTTGCATATCAAAATATTAGCTCTTTAGTGGTAAAAGCGCCAAATTTTCTCAAGAGAAGCAACCCGAGCGGGGAAAGACAGTGTAGCTTTAAACGAGCCCCGCTTCGCCATTCCTGAAACCATGCTATGCTTAGCAGAACGCAACGTTAGCAGCACTGAGATACTAGAGTCTACTTGTGGATCAGGCGACATAAACTAGCCCATAAATCTTTGTTTTATACGTTTCCCAGGTCTACTTTGCCGGGTCTATATGTGCGCGTGTGTAATAATGTTTGTATGTATATAAAAGATTGTAGATGGTCTCGTTTTTATTTTGCATTAGGAAACTAAATATCCAGTAATTGCATATATTTAATAGGAAAGCACATTCTCTGTTTTTCCTTTTTGCATCTAAACCAACGTGATTGGTTTGTTTGTCTTTTCACAAGTTCACTAAATCGTGGTTTTGATTCACTGCAGTATACTGTATAACCAGTCCAAGATTCCTTGTGTTTATTTCGCAGAGACAGAGGTCAAATATCTCTTACCTTTAAAGCCATTAAATATAAAAAATGCACAAAGAAATTAGCATTGCTGAATCGTCATCCGGCGTTTTTAGTCTGCATGGATAAAGTAGGCGGGGATCCCTATTCCAGTTTTAGGTCAAACGCATATTTGTGCAATTTGCCCCTTTTTTAGTTTGTTTTATTTTTAAATCTGGACTGGGTTTGGAATTGGACACCCACAAAACCCGAAAGACCTTTTCAAGCCGCAAGCGCCTTCCCTTCCTGCGAATGACCCCTGGTTTATTTCAATACAGGATTGTTTGGTTATACCGGGGGGGGGGGGGAGTTTTATAGAGTGAAGAAGCCATTTGCTGTGCCCATGGTTTTGCGAAATCCTCCTACCCTCGGACAAACCGTACGCCTCGCTTTACAATGCACATCAGACCCAGGATCATTTGTGTGTGCGTGAAACTGACAAAAAGGGCGTTTTCTTGACTGTAAATCTCATTTTACCGCCCTTACTCCAGCAAAACTCCCATTCAAGTCGATGGTCCTATTGCCAGAGTGAAAACTGCGAGACTGGGCCCTAGATACTCCCCACAGAAATGTCAGACAAGAGGCAAATTTCCCAAAGTCATTTCTTTCCCATTAAAGATAATGTATCTATGGGGCTTTCCAGGTGAAGTTTCTGTATTGATCTCCCATCAGCTCTGTGCCTGCTGAAAAGCGAATAGCTGGGTTGGGCTGGAAGTTTTTTGATGGCCGTGTAAAGAGTTTTTGTTTTCAAACCGCAGCACAGCTAGAAAGGCAAATATTTTATGAGCGCTAAATTCCTTTTACAATTCGGTGTATCATAGACAAATGGATCTCACTAATAAGCGGAAAGGAATGTAGTTTTTCTTTTGCCATAACCATATTGCAATTCCAGTGTAATTAAATGCAAACCAGAAGCGAATGAGACATTTTCATTGTAACTGTCAATCAGTCGAGGGGTAATCACATGTACATTTGAACTTCAGAGATACCGGCTGAAGTAAACAGGTCTGAACTTCGACAAAGAAAGGGGTTCAGAAAATCAAAGTGCAGAGAGAGGCAGGAAGAAATACTTTAATGTATCGAAAATGGGGGTGAAAAACACGAGCTGTGTTTATAAAAAATGGCAGTGTGTAGGAACTCGCCCGCTCTCTCCGCGTACTGTAATGAATGAATTAAATTTAATAAGTGCATGGGGTGAATTGTATGCTAGAGCCTAGATAATCAAAAGCAATAGAAAGGTAAGCAAATATCTCCAGTAAGCACGCAGAGATCGCTGAACTGCCAGGGTGATGCTCTGGAAGAACATCAGGGACATACTGTAAATAAAAGGAGCGGAATTCTTGTTTGACTCCAGTATCTTTTCCTGTATTTGGCTTCGGGGCGAAGTTTAGGTTCTATTTTAATCCACGCGGGAACAAAAACCAGGTTAAAATAACGGATGGTTCCGCTGGGTTGCAAAATCTGAGGGGCATTTTTCAATTATTCTTAAGACTAAAATAAATACATCCATAAAACGGGTTCTTCCCTTTGCAAAACCAGGGCTCTCAAAAGCCCAAACAATTCGTGACATCCAGTCGGATTCAGTCAGAGAACCTGGGAGCTCAGTTTCTCTCTGCGAGCTACAGAGGGAAAACACCACGGAGTTTGAGGTG